GTGCCATAGGTTTCCATCCCTAGCCTGAACTGTTTGCATACTTACATTTGGCTCAAGGCAAAAGTCCGTGGGCGGGGGCGGGTCGAATCCCTTCAGTGTTCCTCGTTTGCGGTTGCCATAGCGTACACTGGAATCTGTCACTTGACAGTTGCTTGCACGGATTGCACAACTGGGTTCAGGCGGCGGATTCTTTTGGTTATCAGCCGTATCGCAACGGCTTATTCCTTGCAGCTTGGAACGATTACTTGATTTGAGTGGGCAGCCATAGCAGGCACACTTTATCTTATTGGGTACAGTTCAAGGGCCTTGGAAAAGCGCATCTTATTCCTTACAGCTTGGGTCGACAACTTGATATTGGGTGAACAGCAGCAGGCGCACCTGATTTTATTGGGTTCAGTTGACGAGCTTCAGGAAAAGTACAACCACGCCCTTGCAGCTTGGAACGACTACTTGATCTTGAGTGAGCAGCACTTGGGGGTATTGGGTACAGTCGACGAGCTCTTGGGGATCCCCGATTTATATGCAATCGGAGGAGCAGCGCGACAAGCGTTTCCGGGAAAACGGGTTGCCCAGGACGAGGGGCAAGAGGGCCGGGAACCCGAATCGTCCATCGCAGCAAACGCATAGCAGGCCGCGGACGTCTGCAGCCTCACATCGCGGGCCATCGATCGACTTCGATCCTCGGGACTCAGACAGAGCTATCAGGACAGCGCCTTGGAGACAAACGGAGTCCAGATGCGCACCTCCAGAGCCAGCTGGAGGAGGAGGAGGAGGAGGTAGAGATCGAGGAATCTGATCAGGAGGAGGTAGAGATCGAAGAATCTGATCAGGGGGTGAAGGCGGAAGATCAAGCGGGATCTTCTGCGAGCCGGGCACCACATCCGGTACCAGAAGGCCTTCGCGGAGTCATCGAAAAGACAGCGCTGTTTGTCCTGCGTGTTTCTGAGGGGCAGCGACCCAATTATATTCGGCAGATTCGAAAGGAACAGGACCCACAAAAGTTTGGTTTTCTGTTGCCGGAGATATCACTGGTATTTTTTGGAGTGCTTGAATATTGGGTCGGCCAAAGAACTCACAGCTGGGACAGAGGCGAGTCCTTCGACCAGTAAGCCTGTACCGGAGCCGGCATCAGCTTCATGCATCGACACCAGCACCGAAGCGCTCGATGGGCGGTTTTGTGCCCGAGCCACCGGTTGAGATCAGAGGCTTCATTGAGAGCATTGCCCAGAGTGCGGCAGAACACGGTGACGATTGGCAGTGGGAAGTGTATAGAAAACAAGATCGCACAGCGTATAGTTTTCTGCATCCAGGACATAAATATCACAGATATCTTCTGCAGCAGAAGGAACGTGCGTTGGCAAACACTGACCAGGCGACGTACCTGCCGACCGAGGCACCGGAGACGGCAGACACAGAGGCGGAGCGGCCCCTAGTTGGCATCGATTGGCATCAGACTTTGGAGCGAGACAACGAGGTCTCCCCTGCGATTGCAAACGCCGCCAAAGCTTTGCAGCAGGTCGCAGACTTTGTCGGTTGACACACTTGATTGAGATTCCAGGGACAAGATTGCGGCATCACCTGTTGCTGATCTTGAGGTTCATTTCTCAAGGCGAAAATCTTGGCAATATTCTGCTATTACACGTAAAGGGGTGGACAAGAGAACCAAGGCTCAGCAGTTTTTGGATTCTGGTGGCCTGTGCCTGATTGACGATCAGGAGACCATCCTTTCTGAATTGAAAGGAAGGTGGGAACAGGCCGGACTTCCAGCAGAAGCTGCGCCGTGGGGTGTCCTTGTAACCACTTCAAAGGACGTGGAGTTGCAGATTAAGGTCCTTACACGAAAGCTTTCGCATCAGCAGTGTAGCAACACGCATCCGAAGCCATCACAGATAAAGGAGCTGTGGTCACAGGCAAGCCGGTGAAAAGATGTCCGATCGGTCTCGAGATAGCCGGAGGGACATTCGTGCAGGGATGTCAGCAACTCCCATAGGTGCATCACCAAGACAGCCTTCCAGTTCAGATTCTAGTGGCCTCATGCAGGATGATCCCAATCATGTCGCGTTGCAATTGACTCCGAACCACGGGAATGATCCAAATCGTGATTCGTGCAGTTGACCCCATCGCCTACTCGGCAGATGCAAGCCCCAGAGTTGATGCCGCCTCCACAATCGCCTGAGGCACCCCTGCTGTGAGCCCTAAGTATGACCTCCTTGCCGGAAGCCATAATGACGCGGACTCAAATGCACATGCTGGTCAGTCATCGACCTCAGGACGTGGTGCTCACGCTGCCGGAAGGCGCGACGCAGCCGCAAGGCGCGACCCCACGGACGGAAAGGTCACAAAATCTTCGGGGGCGGATCCGGTTGATGGAGGGTTTGCCAATTATGACGTGGACGAAAGTGTGCATGGCTCTAGTTCCGGACCCGAACCCAGCTCAAGTAGTGACAGTGATGTGCGTGGGAGCAAGGGTAAGAAGCCATCCAGTAGTTCCGCTTCTGTG